GTGACCGTAATACTTCTAGTTACAGTGCCATATTCCAAATTCTGCCTAACTTCGCCTGAATACACACGTAATGCTAATTATTTTATCTCATAAATAAACCTATTACCCATAACTTATTCCTCGCTGCTCAGATATTTGAAATAAAATACTTAGGTGGCCCGGTGGCCTGGTGGCTAAAGCTCCCGCTTCACACACGGAGGGCCCGGGTTCGATTCCCGGCGGGTGGAAACATTTCGACACGTTTCCTTACACCTGTTGTCCTGTTCACCTAGCAGCAAATAGGTACCTGGGTGTTAGTCGACTGGTGTGGGTCGCATCCTGGGGGACAAGATTAAGGACCCCAATGGAAATAAGTTAGACAGTCCTCGATGACGCACTGACTTTCTTGGGTTATCCTGGGTGGCTAACCCTCCGGGGTTAAAAATCCGAACGAAATCTTATCTTATAACTATATTTTAGAAAATAGTACAAGTGAAGGAAGAAGGAAATGTTTACTTAGTCTCTGTTCAGGGGCACCGAGAGAATTTCTGTACTGGGGAAGGGTTAGGAACGGCTATCTGGTTGGAAGAGGGGCATGGGAGATCTATTTTGAAGCAGCCTTATTATTATTACTATTTTTATTTAGGGCGCTGTACTGGGGGGGGGGATATGTGGAAGGCGTATTCCCCTAAGAAAAAAGAAAAGTAAACTGGAGAGAGACGGTCCCTCTTCAGGAGAAGGCAAAGAATCACTGAGCACCTCAAGAATGCTAGATTATCTGAAACGCGGAAGGAAGCGCTAACCAGGGAAGTGGAAAATATTGAGCTTAAGTTAAAGGACTCATACAAGATCTAGGAGGGACAAGAGGAGCTAAAAGCGATTAGTGAAAATGAAAGAAATTCGAAATATTTCTTTTCATATGCCAAAATTAAGGCAAAAAAACACATCTAGTATAGGGCCCCTCTTCAGACAAGATGGATCTTACACAGATGACAACAAAAGAAATGAGTGTTCAGCGAGCCACTAATCAGTCTAAAGATAGGCAACCCAAATAATTTTTTCATGAATGAGTCTCAAAACTCTGGCAATGTATGCCAAATTTCTGACATAATCCTAACTCCACTAGACTTTGAGAAAGCTATTGAGAATATGCCCATGCACTCAGCCCCAGGCCCAGACTCGTGGAACTCTGTGTTCGTTAAGAACTGCGAGAAACCCTTCTCACGGGCCTTAAGTATGCTATGGAGAAGGAGCATAGACACAGGTGAGATTCCACAGTCACTAAAAACAACGGATGTAGCCCCACTCCATAAAGGTGGCAACAAAGCAATAGCTAAGAACTATAGACCAATAGCTTTAACGTTCCACATAAAAATCTTTGAAAGACTTCTAAGAAGCAGGATTGCAAACCACTTGGACTCCCAACAGTTACACAATCCAGAGCAATATGGGTTCACAACAGGTCGCTCCTGCCTCTCGCAAGTACTGGACCACTATGATATGGTCTTAGATGCACTGGAAAACAAACAGAATGCAGATGTAGTATACACAGATTTTGCAAAAGCCTTTGACAAGTGCGATCATGGTCCAATAGCAAACAAAATGCATGCTAAAGGGATAATTGGCAAAGTAGGCAGATGGATCTTCAACTTTCTAATCAATCGAACACAAAGAGTAGTGGTAAACAGAGTTAAATTGAAAGTTGCCATAGTGAAGAGCTCTGTTCCACAAGGCCCAGTACTCGCCCTATCCTGTTCCTCATCCTCATATCAGACATAGACAGAGATGTAAACCATAGCACCGTATCATCCTTTGCAGACGATACTAGGATTTGCATAAGATTGTCATCCATTGAGGACACGGCAAATCTCCAAGAAGATATAAACCAAGATTTCCAATGGGCAACGGAGAACAATATGATGTTCAATGAAGACAAATTCCAACTACTCCGTTATGGAAAACTGGAGGAAATAATAGCTAGAACTGAGTATACTACAAACTCTAATCACACAATAGAGCGGAAAAGTAACGTGAAGGACCAGGGAGTGGTAATGTCTGAGGATCTTGCCTTCAAGGACCACAACAATGCCACTATCACATCTGCGAGGAAACTGATAGGATGGATAATGAGAACATTCAAGACAGGAAATGCCAAGCCAGTGATGATCCTTTTTAAAATAATTTGTTTTCTCTAGGCTGAAATACTGCTGTACATTAACATCTCTATTCAAGGCAGGTGAAATTGCAGATCTAGAGAATGTATAGAGAACCTTTACTGCACACATATAAGTTCCATCAAACACCTTGACTACTGGGAACTCTTGGAAGTATTTGACTTGTACTCACTAGAGCGCAGGCGAGATACATCATAATCTACACCTGAAAGATCCTGGATGGACTGGTCTCTAACCTGCACACAGAAATCACTCCCTTCGAAAGCAAAAGACTTGGCAGGCGATGCAACATACCCCCAGTGAAAAGTAGGGACGCCATTAGTACACTAAGAAAAAACAATAAATGTCCGGGGCTCAAGACTGTTCAACAGCCTCCCTCCAGCCATAAAGGGAATTACCAATGGACCCCTGGTTGTCTTCGAGAGGGAGCTGGATAGATACCTCAAGTTAGTTCCGGATCAGCCGGGCTGTGGTTCGTACGTTGGACTACGTGCGGTCAGCAGTAACAGCCTGGTTGATCAGGTCCTGATCCACCCGGAGGCCTGGTCATGGACCGGGCCGCGGGGGAGTTGAGTCCCGGAATACCCTCCAGGTAGACTCCAGGTAGGTTGGTAGGCTGACGTCCCCAAGCTTTCATTTTGTGCCGCCCCTGTCTCTGGACTTGAAATCAGCATCAGAAGAAAATTTCATATTTTTCCTGATAAACACTACCGCCATCACCACCAACATTTGGAGGTGGAGTAGCAGGCCACGACATCACTAATCACTGGCTTCCCTCTGCTGGACCAGTGAGCTGCCTAGTGAAGGTGTTACTGGGAGGGTGTTGGTGAGGGTTGTGGTGTAGGGAGGGTGAGGGTGGTGGTGTAGTTAGGGGTTGTGATGGAGGTGGTTATGGTGTAGGTGTGGTCAGAGCTGTGAGGCTGGTGGTGTGGTCAGAGCTGTGAGGCTGGTGGTGTGGTCAGAGCTGTGAGGCTGGTGGTGTGGTCAGAGCTGTGAGACTGGTGGTGTGGTCAGAGCTGTGAGGCTGGTGGTGTGGTCAGAGCTGTGAGACTGGTGGTGTGGTCAGAGCTGTGAGGCTGGTGGTGTGGTCAGAGCTGTGAGGCTGGTGGTGTGGTCAGAGCTGTGAGGCTGGTGGTGTGGTCAGAGCTGTGAGGCTGGTGGTGTGGTCAGAGCTGTGAGGCTGGTGGTGTGGTCAGAGCTGTGAGGCTGGTGGTGTGGTCAGAGCTGTGAGGCTGGTGGTGTGGTCAGAGCTGTGAGGCTGGTGGTGTGGTCAGAGCTGTGAGGCTGGTGGTGTGGTCAGAGCTGTGAGGCTGGTGGTGTGGTCAGAGCTGTGAGGCTGGTGGTGTGGTCAGAGCTGTGAGGCTGGTGGTGTGGTCAGAGCTGTGAGGCTGGTGGTGTGGTCAGAGCTGTGAGGCTGGTGGTGTGGTCAGAGCTGTGTGGCTGGTGGTGTGGTCAGAGCTGTGAGGCTGGTGGTGTGGTCAGAGCTGTGAGGCTGGTGGTGTGGTCAGAGCTGTGAGGCTGGTGGTGTGGTCAGAGCTGTGAGGCTGGTGGTGTGGTCAGAGCTGTGAGGCTGGTGGTGTGGTCAGAGCTGTGAGGCTGGTGGTGTGGTCAGAGCTGTGAGGCTGGTGGTGTGGTCAGAGCTGTGAGGCTGGTGGTGTGGTCAGAGCTGTGAGGCTGGTGGTGTGGTCAGAGCTGTGAGGCTGGTGGTGTGGTCAGAGCTGTGAGGCTGGTGGTGTGGTCAGAGCTGTGAGGCTGGTGGTGTGGTCAGAGCTGTGAGGCTGGTGGTGTGGTCAGAGCTGTGAGGCTGGTGGTGTGGTCAGAGCTGTGAGGCTGGTGGTGTGGTCAGAGCTGTGAGGCTGGTGGTGTGGTCAGAGCTGTGAGGCTGGTGGTATGATGGCGTCAGTCACTGTTTAGAGCATTTCTACATTAAATTTCGCCAGGCAATGATAATGTAAAAATCACAAACATTCCAATTTAAAGCCACAAATTATTATTGACACTTTTTTTCTGTCCCCTCAAATGTCCTTCTATGCTCATACCTGTCCTTCAGTGACTCATAATAAGTATCTTGTGGATCTATTATAAAAACATGAAAATTATCCTGCGAGGAAGTGTCTTAGTAAGTTTTATTCATGTACAGGTACACATAAATACAGTTACATAAATTATCATACACAGCAGTGTAAACAATTTTGATAAAAAAACAATGGTAATGAGCGAGAGGTGCATAGTTAGGAACACGCTGGTTCATACTCGAAGGCACTTGTGACTATAACGGGGATTTCAATGCCAAGGATGTGATCCTTGGGCCACTCACCGTGGCTTGCGATGTATTTGTACTCTAATGCTGTATATTAAACATCGAGTAAATGATAACCAGAATTTTTTCTGTTTAACATTATGTTCGTAGGAGATTGATAGGTTATTGTAAGTAATGGAGTCTCCTTATTTGTCAAAAATACAGTTTACGAAGAAATAAATTTATAATATCCCTGCTGAGTGGGACTTGTGTACTGGGTCCCGTAAGCGGGTCAATGACTCTTGAGCTTAATTTCTCATAAGATAATGTTCTCTTTCTTAGTTCTTTGGAGTGTAGCAGATATTGTCTGAAAATGTATTAAAATATGTAAACTCTCGTGCACAGATACCGTTTAATTAACATATTATATCTGTAGTAGTGCTAGGTAACATTTACACACAATTCTTGTCATACCACAAAAACTGCAAACAAATTGGTGGAATGGAAAAAGGTAACGGGATAAGAGTAGGTACAGGACTGGGGAAGGGAAGGGACGGAGGGAGTCTGGGTGGAAATGGGGGGAGGTTGGATGGGAGGGAGGGAAGAGAGCTCATCAGCTGGCTGGATACACTACCTCAGTCTGTCTAGAATCATTCTCCTTCTAGCACCCGTACTGGTTTTCAGACCTTACCGTTAAGGGGTGATGGATAAGTGTCTTTTTACATGTGTGTGTATTGTAAGGAAGAATTCTTAAAGCCGATATTTATTCAGTAGATACGAAAAATCCACAAAGCTTTCTGAATATAAGGTGTAAGAGTAGCACCTATGGACATTGTGGAAATAAACTATTACTATTGATATTACTATAAACTTTGGTGACTGACTGGTAAATACAGTCATTACGAAATATACAAGTGAAGGGCGAATTAGAGGCTAGTGCAGACTTAATATTGACCAATTACAAGATGTGGAGAAACAGCTATGTGTGTGTGGTAGTGATAGTGGGGATGGTGTGGGCAGTGAGTGGTGAGGTTAACTCTATTCACACACACTCAGACTATAATATTAACAGCGGCAATGCGCGCCTCAGAGAAATCCAAACGAGGTTCTTAGACGTGATAGGTAACTCCACGTCTTCCATGTTCACTATAAGTGAACTGATGTCTCTACTGTACACTGACACGGGCGGGGAGCTGGGAAAACTCCTGCTAGAGGGTGTCATGCTGGGGGTGCAGGAGAAAGACGCCATCACACTCCTAACTCATTTCTGGGCGGAATTACAACTGAGACTCTCTCCTGTGTTGATGGAGACTCTAAATGATTACCGTGACTTCTTTGCTGGTATGGACATAACGACGCTACCATTGGTGTGGGAGCAATTATTTCGAAAGGATGAACTGGGTAACAGTCTAGCGGAAGTGCCGTTGGGTCAGCTTATAGACATGATACAACCCTCTGCTTCTAAGTACGGGGTCGATATCCGTGCCTTCGTTAATTCCCTCATGGGCAAGGGAGACAACAACGCTAGGGATCTTATATTCACAATCATCAATAATCTGGACGTATCATCAATGGTGAATTCTTTCTTAAATTCCACATCAAGTCCCACAGCAGTTCAGGCGAAAAAGACTGATCACAGCACAATTGTTAAACCTCGTCCAAGTAATGAGGAAAAAACAAAAAAGGAGAAAGACAAAATTCTACAGCTGTTCAAGCCGCTGGTGGCATCCCTCTTGCGTGAGAACAACGTGGACCTTGATGTTGATGCAGTGTTGAAGGTGTTGTCACCGTTACTCTCCGTGGATATGATGGCCCAAGCCGCCCCCCTCCTAACCATGCTCGGTTCCCAAGCTGGAGAAGGAATTGCTCCCGTCATTGCTAGCATATTAGGGGGAGGAGACGATCGGAAAAAACAGCAACAAATGGGCGGTCTTCTAGGAGGATTAGGTACATTGTTGGCAGGTGGAGGCAAGAACAATATGGACCTTGATGTTATGATGAATATTGCCTCTGTATTCATGAACAGTGGAAAGCCTTCTAAGAACAAAAAAAGAGACAAAAAAGAAAAATCCAGTAACAGTGGTTTTAATATGGACTTACTGATGAACCTTGCAGGTAATCTAGCAGCAAAAAATGATATTAACCTAGGTTCCATTTTGGCCGCTACATCCAGTTTTCTCGCCCCTGACATAAAAAAGGAAAAACAAATGGATATGAAGAAAATGCAGCAAAGCATACAAGTGTCAACTGGAGAGAAGCAAAAGACAGCAAAAGAAACAGTTAACGACTCCCAGCTTAATGAAAAACCTAAAGCCATTCATAAGCCAAATACCACATTAAGGAAAAATAAATCCAAGAATCTCATAGACGTTATCGAGCCAATTCTGCTGTTGATGCAGACTGACAAGAAATGTAATAGCAAGATTAAGGATGCTATCTCATTGAGCAAGTCGATGTTGAACAACAAGATTTCCGGCATGGGAGACGTAAGCCAACTGCTGCCTTACATCATATCCTCACTGGTGGGTGGTGACACTGAAGGTCTCGGTATGGACAGTATGTTAGCTACCATGAAGCAAGCCATGGCTTATGCAAGTTGGGACGATTTTCTTCAGAAATTAAACAACGAGGATTACCGGGAATCTCTCATACTAAACATCACTCCATATTTATCAGAGTTGCTAGCTCTTCTTGCCACACAAGATGTCCAGAACAGACTGTACGATGTTGCCGTTCCAAAGATAGAGACCTTCCTCACCTCGTACGGTCTGCCTGGCGTCACCCTCAACAACTTCCCAGAGCGTGTTGCCCCCCTTGTGGGCATGCTGGGTAAAAGTTGGAACCTCCCTTTCAAACCTACCATCATCCTGGTGCCACTCAGGGATTACTTGAAGGGTCTTCAGTCTTGGGCGGGGACTGGCCTCGCACACATTCGCACCCTCTCCACACGACACGTTAGTACCATTGCCTGGGCTTAATACTGGTCTTTATAGTATTTTGTTGTAGCATTAATGTAATTATAGTTTTACATATTTGTTTTGCCCCATTGTCCGATTCAAAGAAGGAAACACTCACCATCACTCATTCAATAGCAATCACTAAATTTACTAATTGTAATATTGTTATATGTTTTTTACTACCTCATCATTATAAATCTAATTAATTACTTCAGTTATCTAGTATCCAATAAGATACATTAAAATGTACTGCTCCATAACCTGTGTCAATATACAGTAAGAATTAGGATTAGTCTGGCCGCAATGCCTAGGCATGCTAGAGGCCAAGTCGGACCGGAACGCCATCACAACTTTCATTTCTCCTAAGTGAGGGTTATTTATGTATTGTTCCAGTCACGGTATTCTTGCATTTTTATTCTTCATCATTTGAACGGCAACATCCCATCCATCCTTCAGAGAGCAGGCACTGTACTTCCCCTCCCAGAACTGTCGGACTAACACGCGCACTTACGTCGCCTGCCACATACTCCACTTCATATGTCGCTTGCCTTATACTCCACCTCATACGTCGCCTGCCGCATACTCCACCTCATACGTCGCCTGCCGCATACTCCACCTCATATGTCGCCTGCAGCATACTCCACCTCATACGTCGCCTGCCGCATACTCCACCTCATACGTCGCCTGCCGCATACTCCACTTCATATGTCGCTTGCCTCATACTCCACCTCATACGTCGCCTGCCGCATACTCCACCTCATACGTCGCCTGCCGCATACTCCACCTCATACGTCGCCTGCCGCATACTCCACCTCATATGTCGCCTGCAGCATACTCCACCTCATACGTCGCCTGCCGCATACTCCACCTCATACGTCGCCTGCCGCATACTCCACTTCATATGTCGCTTGCCTCATACTCCACCTCATACGTCGCCTGCCGCATACTCCACCTCATATGTCGCCTGCCGCATACTCCACCTCATACGTCGCCTGCCTCATACTCCACCTCATACGTTGCCTGCCGCATACTCCACCTCATATGTCGCCTGCCGCATACTCCACCTCATACGTCGCCTGCCTCATACTCCACCTCATACGTCGCCTGCCGCATACTCCACTTCATATGTCGCTTGCCTCATACTCCACCTCATACGTTGCCTGCCGCATACTCCACCTCATACGTCGCATGCCGCATACTCCACCTCATACGTCGCCTGCCGCATACTCCACTTCATATGTCGATTGCCTCATACTCCACCTCATACGTCGCCTGCCTCATACTCCACCTCATATGTCGCTTGCCTCATACTCCACCTCATACGTCGCCTGCCGCATACTCCACCTCATACGTCGCCTGCCGCATACTCCACCTCATACGTCGCCTGCCGCATACTCCACTTCATATGTCGATTGCCTCATACTCCACCTCATACGTTGCCTTCCGCATGCTCCACCTCATACGTCGCCTGCCTCATACTCCACCTCATACGTCGCATGCCGCATACTCCACCTCATATTACTAAAAAAACTTCCTTTAAATATACTTGTTGGAAAAAATGCATAATTTAAAAGCTGCACGGCCTGAATATTATTATTATAATCAAGAGGGAAGCGCTAAACCCAGAGGATTATACAGCGTCTGGGCGGGGGGGGGGGATGTGGAAGGCATTCAGGCTTAATTCAGGGAATTGGAGCACAGATCCAATTCCCTAAATCAAGAGCCCCTCACCAACATCAAGGAACCTTCCTTGAGGGGTGCACGGCCTGAAATATTTTGGAAATTCAGCCATGTTCGGTAATAAAGGTCTCATTTTTTTACTATAATCAAACTTCAGTATATGACTCATATCAGCTGCCATATTTTTTTTTTTTCGCCGGTATTCTCCCGGCCCGGGTCTTTTCCAAGTAGTGGTGACCCGGCCTTGGCTCCCTATCTTGGGAGTATCTCGAGACCTAAGTCTCCCATGGGAGGAGGTACAAGTACCCCCTCATCTTTGGGACCAAGTGTCCCCAGGCCATATTCACATCCTGAATACCAGACTGTATCTCTCTTCTCACTTTCTTTATAAAGGTTTTCTTAGTGTTAATTTACGTCACACATCTTCATATATACCTGAATCAATCGTAAATAAAGATTGTTTTTCAAATTAGACCTATTATTGTGAAATTTTTATATTTATAATATATTTTGTAAATCCTCATTGCTTTTTTATAGACAAATCTTATCCATCCCGGACCCTTGCGTTTGTGAGTCGAACTCTCTGCTATTGAGCTGCTTCCACATAAGTCTCTCCCCGCCCCGGACTGAACCCGCGTCTTATCGATTATGAGCATAGCGCATAAGAAAGAAGGAGCACTGCAGCAGGCCTACTGGCCCATGCTAGGCAAGTCCAAGTCACCTTCCTGCCTAAGGTAGTCAGGTCCAAGTCACATCCGCTTACGAAGGAAGGAGCAAGGCATCAGACCTATTAACACAAGCTAGTCAGGTTCAACTCACACCCACCCACACCCACTCATGTATTTATCTAACCTATTTTTAAAACTACACAACGTTTTAACTTCAGTGACGCTACTTGGGAGTTTGTTCCACTCATCCACAACTCTGTTACCAAACCAGTGCTTTCCTATACCTTTTCTAAATCTATTTTT